CCCCAAAACCCCAAAACCCCAAAACCCCAAAACCCCATAAAAGATATTGCTTGTTGAATTTAGCCAAGGAAGTAGAAGATTTCAGGAAAATGTCCATATCCAACAGAAGTTCCATTATTACTGTTGTTGGAGTTCTCAATTTTAAAAAGACCCATGTGCTCATTTTCAATCTTCTCATAATCATCACCTCCTGATCCGTTGTATGTGCTAAGCTCATCATTAGTTGAGATATTTTTTGCAATCCAGACAACAATCTCAATCTTTTGGCCTGCTTTTACTGAGCGGACTTCATTCAGTTTATGTCTATAGTAAAACTCATCTTCCCATCCTGAGGCAATGATTGTATCTTCCTCCACTTCTGTGTCATTAACTTTGACTTGATACTTCATCTCATATTGGCTATGATCTCTAGCAGCACAGGTTGAGAACCCACAGAGAATAATGTTTTTGGAAGGAACAAAGCAAACTCCATCAGAGCTCCTTCCAGAATTTGACCAGTATGAATTTGGATAAATTTCTTGGAATCTCGAAAATTTGAAGGGCTTGCCATATCACTCCGAACCAAATATAATAGATCCTCTCGTGATTCCTTCAATGTTGGCAATACAATCTTCTTTATCTACTTCTTTGCCATTGAAGAAGAACTTGTAAGAACTCACAGAAGCTCCGATGCCATCAAGAGAATTTTCAAGAGATACATTTAATCTTTCATATATTTTTGGACTTACTTCCATGATAGTTTTAATTCCAGAAGTAGTGTTGATGTCGATTAAAATATCTAATCAACTCTCAAACTCATCAAACCTTTCTTGAGTGGAAATTTCAATAGTTTCTGTCCCATTCCTCTCAGTCAAGCTTACCCAAGTGGGGTTGGAGTTGTCATCAGTCTTCAAGTCCAGTACCTTATACCACTTATCGTCCTTGGTATTGTACACTAACTTGCCAATATTGAACACTGGAGAAGGTTTTCCCTTAAGAGTGCGAAAGACATCGTCGTCAGAGAAATTAAACTGAACAACAGCATTTTTTTTCTTAAGCTGGTCTTGAGTATACTCCTTCAAGGATGGCTCCATGTTCGAAAATGGGAGATGTTCATCGCTAAGAGTGTCTTTCCATAGCATCTTCCCATCAAAGCTATAGTTCTTGAATCCTGTAGGTTCCATATTTAGGTACGAATAAAGCTAAGTTTTAATATTTTATGTAAATATATTCAGTATCTACTCTACTTCAGGGGTTTTGGGGTTTTGGGGTTTTGGGG